TCAGCCACCCAAATACTTGGAATTATAAGAATGTGCCACTTTGTCCAGCAAGTCTTTTTAAATAGTTTGCCAGTTTGTCTTCCTTGATAATCTTCTAAGTTGTTTTACTTTCTATAAGTACTAATCTGTCAAATAATATGGGTTATAACCTAAGAATCAACTGGTAAGAAAAACCCAGTTGTTTCTAGCTTTTTGTATAGTCTAGGAAGACACTGTGTTCCACAGTTGCTCTCAACGGTTCAGCTGTAGGATTGAAGTGTGATCAGTTTTGTCAGCAGAGGACCCTTACAATATGTTTTCTTCTTTTACTTTTCTTTTTTTTTTTTTTTTTATCTTTTTGGGACAGGGTCTCGCTATGCAGTCCAGGCTGGCCTTGAGCTCACTTTGTAGCCCAGGCTGGCCTCAAACTCGCAATAATCTTCCTGCCAAAGCCTCCCGGTGCTGGGATTACAGGCATGCGCCACCACGCCCAGCTCAATGTTTTCAGAATTTCACTATTTTTGTCAACAATGGCAGTTTGGTGAAGGTCATGTGAGGTAAGCCAAGTTATCTCTGGTCCTAGATCCATGTCTCCCAGCCAAATGCCAAGGACGTGCCCGAGGGCAGCATTATGAATAAGGTGACAACAGCCAGGCAACGTCCCCAGCCCGCAGAGGCCTTGACAGCAAAAAGCTGCGGCTCAAGGAGAAACGCTGGCAGTTCACAGGGAACATCTGTCAAAAAGCACTCGCCTTACAGAAATGCATTTTGTCCTATTCTTTTTTGTCTGTCTGTCTGTCCCTCTGTCTTTTTACTCAGGAATAATTTGGGAACTATGTATTTGAAAACCTAACTTGTGTCCTCCAGCCTCAGCCTGAGCTCGGGCTAGGGAAAGAACTATGGAAAGAACCAGACAGAGTTGCTGGGCGTGGTGGCGCACGCCTGTAATCCCAGCACTCAGGAGGCTGAGGCAGGAGGATCGTTGTAAGTTCGAGACCTGCATAGGCTACAAAGTGAGCTCAAGACCAGCCTGAACTGCATAGCGAGACCCAGTCTCAAAAAAAGACTGAAAAAAAAAAAAGAACCAGACAAAGGAGAGCTTACCATTCACCACACAAAGGTAAGCACTGATTCTGAACCACTTCGAACCTTCTAGATACCTTCGATTCATCTTTGTTGTTGTTAGCTAGGTATGCAGTTCATGTTTTATTGCCCTCCAGATTTTTTTTTAAGTTCAATCAAAAGTTGTGCCTCTAAGTCTGATGTATTATATACAGATCTTGTAGAATGAGTATGAGGAGATACAAAGTAGTCCAAGCTCAAAAAGATGTACTGCAGTATAGAATCATCTTCTTAAATATACATAAAATTCCTGTCACGATAGAGGGAACCGTCTGGTTTTTCTGAGACACTTTCTGCAGTGATTCAAGGCACGAAATGCACACCCAGTGTGACCACCCGCTTTCTAGGTTTGCGCCTCTGACGAAGCCCAGCAGAGATCAGGCTTCATACTGTGATGAAGCTAAATCTATCCAATGAGATTCTGTTTCTTAGGTGAAAAAGCACAGACCTACAAACACTGCGCAGATCATTTCTCCAAAATATGGAGACTACAAATACCTGTGCTGTATTTTAGGTTTTTCTGTTTTTGCTTTTTTCCGGTACCTGAAATCGAACTCACGAGCTCACGCTTGCCAGGCAGGCACTGTGCCGCTGAGCTAAATCCCCAGGCTCCCTGAGCTTTTTTTAAAAATAAAAGTAAGCACAACAAAAAGCACTCCTTCTTGGTGCCTTTTCTTGATAAGTGGTTTTATCAAAATGTGAAAAGAATGTGCCGTGCAAACAGAAATGCACACCAACCTGCGGGAGCGGAACCGTGGGTAGAAATTCCCTTTACCCTGGAAAGCGTGAGCTTTTAACAACACAGGACTCTGGAGAAGTGGCGCTGGTTACGTCACTGTTCTCTGTCTCCCGCTGGGTGCGTGGCCACGTCCAACCTGGGGACATAAGTGCCCACAGACCTTGCCCCCGGGAAGCGACATGGAGGACCAGAATCCCGCCCTGCGCCGCACTGGGGGCCTGGAGCACAGCAGGAACCCCGAGCTCAGGCTGAAGCTGGAGGTCAGAGGCCAGCACTGCTCCAGCAGCTCAGCGTGCGTCATCCCTCACATGCGCCGCTGTGCTCCTCGTCCTGTGTACAAAGCCACACCAGGCTTTGTCAGACCAGCCATGCGAGTCCCAACTCACGCTTACCCACAACGTTCTACTTCCTCATTTTTGGTCATGTGTGATAGAGGGAAGATCAGGTCCACACCCCTACTCCTTACAGTTGTTAAACAGGTGTGACAATGCTTCGGTGCCTTTTTTTTTTTTTTTTTTGGTCTTTTTGAGACAGGGTTTCACTATGCAGTTCAGGTTGGCCTTGGGCTCACTTTGTAGCCTAGGCTGGTCTCGAACTTGCAACAATCCTCCTGCGTCAGCCTCCTGAGTGTTGGGATTACAGGCATGTGCCAGTACACTCAGCCTGAAATTATATTTACTATTGCTATCTAGTCAGAGTTTTTTGGATCTTGACCCCGTCTCAAGTGAGCTGGAATGCTATTTGTGGGAAAAGAAAAGACTTTGAGCCGGGCGTTGTGGTACACGCCTGTAATCAAACCCTCAGGAGGCTGAGGCAGGAGGATCGTTGCGAGTTCGAGACCAGCCTGGGTTACAAAGTGAGCTCAAGGCCAGCCTGAACTGCATAGTGAGACCCTATCTTAAAAAGACAAACAAAACAAAACAGAACAAAACAAAACAAAACAAAACAAAACAAGGTTTAGTCACTAGGGATAGTTATCTAGTCTTTTTTTTTTTTTTTTTTTGCAGTGGTTTTTTTTTTTTTCAGGGGAGTACTGGGAATCAAGCTCAGGACCTTGTGCTTGTCAGGCAAGCGCTGTGCTGAGCTATATCCCTCGCCTAGGGGCTTGCTTTTGATTTTTGAGACAGGGTCTCACCATGCTGCGTAGCCCAGGCTGTACTGAACTTGTAATTCTGCCTCAACCTGCTGAGTGATGAGATTACAGGCATAGGCTACAGTGCCCAGCATTCTTTTTCTTTTTAATGTCGCCCTGGGGGTTGAACGCAGCACCTTGCACATTCTAAGCACCCACTCTTCTGCTGAGCTACAAGCCAGCCCTAACTACTCTTTCTGAGTACTGGACAGACATCCAACCACTAGCTTACACTCACCATGTAGGGATGTGTTGCTATTATTAGAATTGGGTCCAGGACTGGGCTGGGGATTTAGCTCAGCAGCAAAGCACCTGCCTGGCAAGTGCAAGGTCGTGAGTTTGATTCCTGGTACCGGAAGAAAAACAAACAAACAAACAAAAGAAACAGAATTGGGTCCAGGACTGTCACTTCTGAGACACTTTCACATAGCAGATGAACAGTGAACTGTGTGCCTCTTACATGCCAAGAGAACTTGGAAATAGAAACACTATGTTCCTGTCTTTTTTTGTCTGTCTTTCCTTGTTTGTTTCTTTTCCTTTTCTTTGTTTTTTCCTTTTCTTTTGAGATGGGGTCTCACTCCATAGCCCAGGCTGGCCTGGGATTACAAGCATGCGCCACCAGCCCAGTTCGTTTCTTTCTTTCTTTCTTTCTTCTTTCTTTCTCTCTCTTTCTTTCTTTCTTTCTTTCTTTCTTTCCTTCTTTCTTTCTTTCTTTCTTTCTTTCTTTCTT